CAGATCTCTCTCTCTCTCTCTCTCTCTCTCTCTCTCTCTCTCTCTCTCTTTCTCTGTCACGCAACCTTCGCCCATAATTTATATCGATCACATAATTTCCGGTATTCGGCACGTAGGCGAAATCGGTACTTTCCTGCCGACGAGCGATGCATTTCGCAATGTTTGAGATGCTGCGAGGAGGCGAATGCCAATAAGATGTATCAACGAGCAGATGCATAAACTTATCTCAGCGAAAGTATAATAAAAAAGAATAAACGTATGACGGAAGTCACTTAATTCCAAAATATAGTAGATAAAAATTTGTGTAAAATTTACTACTATTGTTATTAACATTTTAATAATACATTTTTAACTTATTATATTTAATTATAATAGACTTTTATTATACATATATTTAACGATGATAACTAGCGTCTCTTCGAATCATGATTGTGAAAGGCGGTTTCTTATAATATAAACGAAGAACAAATATCTACAAATTAACGAACAATGCTTTTATGTTTAGTTTTGTAAGAAGTTTATTAATTGTTTTATAATAAAGGAGATTAAATAAATAAGATACTTTAGTTCCGTAGACAACGCAGAACAAAAATCAGATTTTAAGAAGAAATTGAGAGATTGAAAGTCTTGTGAAAAGATCCACAATAAATTATCGTAAACGGGAGGATGTGTAGTAATGAGTTAAAACGGATGTGATTGCGGTCTCGTTGTCGGTTCATTTAAATCGTGTTTTGATTTCTGCGATCGTGGGCAGGGATGATTTCATGCATTCAGAAGGCTCCGAGGGAACAGTTACGCGGCAGTTACTCTCAATTGCTTTCAAGGCGTAAATGTTGTACAGCCGCAAAACGTTTTTGCTATTTCGTGATCAAGGCACTTTCAAACGATACCTTTCCGATCCTCCGCGAGATCGTCCGTGGCGTCCAAGGACGAAGTATCAATTTGCATTTGCGTTTAAATCACCATGTCGGTGGTTAACGAATGCATAAGCACGCTGTCGCATATCTTTTTTGCAATTCAGATAATCGACACGTGATCGAGTAATAATTGATGAATACAAGTATAATGAATATATAGTAATACCAATGAATCTAATAGTGTGAGTATAAAACGTAAATAAATAACGAAATCTTTTGAATAATTTCAAGACAAAACTTGAATCTGAACCTTGGCCACAAAATTTATGTCACGCTATTTAAAGCTGCTAATTAAAAAAAAAAATTTGTGAATAAGATGATATTCTATCAAGTTTTCGATTAAAAGAGATGTAAATCCCTCAAATAAAAATCAAGTTAATAAAATGGAGTAATCTTTATAACAATTTCGAGCATGCAA